TAGAAATTATCAAACCATTTATGGGCAAAATATACCTCAAAAGGTTTTAACTTTAGTCAGTAGAGAGCCTACACCCACTGCTGAAATGATTTTCCATGATGTTTCAAATTCTCACCCGTTTCATTTTAAATTTCCTAAGTTGCCAGCTTTCTGATCACATATTCAGTTCACGTCTTCCCACTTTATGAACTTCCACTGTGCCTCCATCCCCGACACAATTATAAATTCTCTTATTTTGCCTGGCCCTGTTGACTGGAATTTACTGCTTATGGCTTCCGCCCTTCTGCTTATGGAAGGCTCAAGGATTATTTATTGAGCCTCACTAGTATATCTAAATTTGCCAATTTTTTCCCCCCTCTCTCTTATAGTCTGAAACGGAGAGGCTGTTTACTTCAATCGATGCCTGTGAAAACAGCAGCTCATGGAAGCTAGTTAGAAGCAAATTCCCAAGTAACTTAGACTTGGCAGCGTTCCATTACCTTTGATTATCAAAGGGCAAAATTAATGGGCAGTTCATGAGGCTGTGTGACAGAGAGGTGACAGGGAGTCGCTGTGATTCAAATGGCAGAAGTCAAGGAGTTGTTTATCCTCGCTGCCATTTCAGTCTCTTTCTCATCACATGTAAAAACTGTCTGACTCTTGTGGCCACTGGAATGGGCTTTTCCTTCCAGACCACTTAGTCACATCTCTGGTGTTTAGAAAAGTAATCTTTAATGAATGCTAATCAAGTTTCTAATTATATTATCTTTATATTTAATGTTTGTGTATCAGATGAAAGGCAAACATTTTGGGGCCAGTCACGAAGGACATGAATAATTTTTCTTAGAAGCTTAATTAATTAGTGGTATTGCTCTACAATGTCTTGAAAATTTGAACTTCCATCATTTCATTAATTTAGATAAAAGTGAATTTTCAGCATTTAATGATGACATGTTGGAAATTATGATAAGTTGCAAAATTTTTAATCATGCACATTTATTTAACAGAGACAATAATAACACATTTTTTGAGGATATTTGGGGGATGTGGTGTACTAGTTTCTTGTTTATTTTATTGTTTTATTCTTAACACTTTCAAGAAATTGCCATAGTAAATTTCTGGGACACTCATATACTTAGAAAAATATTTTTAAAAAGTAACTGTGCTTGGCATTCTGCTTTATCGATAATTTTTAAAACTGTAAATTTCAAGAATTTTTTTACTGGCTCACCAATGATCACGTGATATAGCTTATACTCATTATAACAGAAGACTCTTCCTGATTGGCTTCAACTTTCTGCCCTGAAGTCACCACCAGCCAGGTCTCGGGATGCTCTCACCATTGGAGCTACTGATTATTTTATTAACAGCTTGGTCTCCGGGCTTCTGGCCCTTTCTACATGTGGCTGACTTCAATCGAAAAGACTTGTCTACCTTTCTTCACCCAGGATATGTCTACTCATTATGTAAAGCTAATTCAGAAGTCATCCCTTCTTTTAAATATTTCCCATGAATTTAGGAAATATTCTTCCACTGCTTTTTGTAAAGGAATAATATGTAGGGTACATGAGGGTACAACAAACCCTTATTTCCTGGAATACTGTAGATCCCTTAACTGTAGGAGCTTTGTCTTAGTAACTGGGAATACAGAGGTAAATATTTACTGAACAAATAAAGAGAAAAATGATGAAAGAATAAATGAATGAATGACAAAATTCTCAGAAGGGAATCACAGGTTATCTAAGCTTATATCTGATAATATTTTGAAACATGAATTCAAGCAAGGAAGTATAACTAAATTAATTTCTTGTATCTTTGTTTGCTAGGACAAGAGCAGATTTGGGATAGTCCCATTCTATTCAGTCCCAAATAGCTTTCAGGAAGGAGGGAATGCAGGAGGTTGAATGGTCAAACTCAAAAATATATGTCCAGGTCCTAATCCTGGGAACCTATGTCAATATGTTGGAAAAGGGTATTCGCAGATGTAATTCAATAAAGAATCTTAATATGAGATCATTCTAGATTACCCGGGTAGGCCCCAAATTCAGTACTAAGCGTTCTTGGAAGAGTAGATGACCCCGGAAAATGAGGAGATGGCCATGTGACAATCAAGGTAGAGACTGAGTTATGCAGCTCCAGCCAAGGAATGCCTTGGCTTCTCTTCCCTCCCTTTTTGATTCTCTCTGGCCACTTGCTGGCTTACAATGAATCTACCAACTCTATCTCCAATGAATCTACCAACTCTACCAATCTTCCTCCATTTGCCTTTCACAACAACCTCCATTATTTTTAGTGCATAGATGGACTTGAACTTTTCCACATTCCTTTGCAAATGAAGTTGGCTTATTTAAAATATTTATTTTTATACTAGTGTATATATACTAGTGTGTGTGTGTGTGTGTATACATATATATATTTATTAGAGGCCCGGTGCATGAAAATTCATGCACTGGAGGGGGTGTTCCTCAGCCCGGCCTGCCCCCTCTCACAGTCCGGGAGCCCTCAGGGGCGGGAGGCGACCCAGCGATCAGGGGAAGGCGATGCCCCCATCACACCTCTGCTGCTGCCACTGCCACTTCCAGCAGCACAAGCCTCAGCCAGCCTTGGTTACCTGAGCCTTGGGTGGCCCTGGGCAGCTGGGCAGCCACCATCTGAGGCTTGCCTGCACCTCGGGCCGGCTCTGGGCGGCTAGGGGGATGAGGGGACTTGGCGCCGCCATCTTGTGGCTGTGGCACCACCATCTTTGAGGGAAGGACAGTCAATTAGCATATTCCCTCCTTATTGGCTGTGGGTGCCACCATCTTTGTGACATGTGAGGGTCAATTAGCATATTCCCTCTTTATTATATAGGATTATTGATTTCAGAGAGGAAGGGAGAGGGAGAGGGCGATAGAAACATCCATGATGAGAAAGAATCATTGATTGGCTGCCTCCTGCATGCCCCCTAATTGGGATCGAGCCTGCAACCCAGCCATGTGCCCTGACCTGGCATTGAATAGTAACCTCCTGGTCCATAGGTCAACGCTCAACCACTGAACCACACTGGCTTGGTTGAAGTTAGCTTCTTTATAAGAAATTCAGAGCTCTCTGCTTTATGCTTCTCTAGCCCATCCCCAGAACCTCAGCCAAGGCTCTGGAGTGTCTCTCTAAGTGACTTCTTCTGTAGGAACTTAGGGTTTTGTGGAGGGGGAGATAGCAGCCCCAGTCTTCCTGGCTACTCTCTCAGCAAGAAATACCCCCCTTGACCATGTGCCCAATACTGTCATAATACTTTTAATGTTTTCTCATATAATGTCATAATTCTGTAAACCACATGTTACGTGCTTGAATTTCAGTTTCTGCAGGGATAACATGAGGTCAAGCAAACTGATCAGGATCATGTAGGGTGTAGGAGGCAAGGATGGAGCTCCAAACATCATTTACTGCTAACACTATATTATCCCCTTTACTCTCCAGTAACTACTCTTCAGCTCATGGTCAGGCTAGAAAGAGATATAAATCTTTAAGCATATAACCATACCTTATTTCAAATAATTATACCTTATTTATTGAATTTACTCAAGTAGATAAAACATGAAATGTAAGTTCCTTATCTTAAGGACAGCTGCTATACTTTTAAATAAAACTTTTCCTTTCATCAAAAGTTGGAGGTGCATGCTTCCTCTTTGAATGAAGAATGAATTATTCCATTAGATATAAGATAGTAAAGGAGAAAAGATGTATCAGGGGACACATCTAAGGCCATTGGCTTGATTTGGGGGAAGTGAGATTATGTTCCATGACTCAGGTGGTTGGAATTCCAGAGGAGAGTAGTCATCCATTCTTAGGTAATCACATTAGAATACTGGAGAGTAGCCATGCTAGTTAACCAGATTTAAACCATGTGGCATTGCCAGTGGGGTTCACCAAGTGTAAATTTGTAACATGGCTCTGATCATTTGGTCTGTGCTTTAGAAATACCATCATATTTAAGAAAAAGCACAATGATGAGTGCTTGAAGGTTTTAGAGATCTGAATGTAATCAATTATCAAAAAGCAGATTTGATCTATCAAATGCAAGTTGATTTCTTTATATTCAGAAGTCAAACGCTTTCCCCCTCATGGCTTGCTTATAAATATTTAGTGCCACAGAAACACAAATAAATAATTGGCCATCCCCCGTGCATTCTGCATAATTTACAAGACATCAAAAGACTCTGCAGTCAGAGTCAAACTATTGTATTTACTACAAATAAAAAATTATCACGTGGCCCAAGTCAGCAATGTATTAATGGACCAGATTGCTGTGTGTGTGCGTGTGTGTGCGTGTGTGTGCGTGTGTGTGTAACTTTTTAAATTTAAGGGCTTGAGGATTAAGGATTATGTATTAAATTATTTGCTATTGGGATTGACCTGGAAAGATTAGGAGATTATTATCTGTGTACACTGATGAAAATCTTTATGAAAACGAAAATATTAAAATGACTTGGGCTTATTTTATCCAAAACCATCCCAAGGTCAAGTTTTAATAAAGAATAAAATTCATAAAAAATACGATCCCCCATCTTTAAGATTATTTTTTAATCATTGTGACGGACCAATCAGCAATTGATTTGGCCCTTATGCTGGGTTTTTGTTCGTCTTTCGTAGATAGCCTGTCAAATGAGGGATAGCACAACACTGGGTTGTATTCTACCCAAGATAAACAAAGAGATAAATCTTTGTTGCCTACAGGATTTTTTTCTTTTATCTAATGGACTTTATTAATAAAATAAAGCTTTCTTCACCAGGGAAACTTTTTAATGATTCAGAGCAAAGCTCCAGCAAATGGTGTTTGGAATAATAATTTACACTATTTTTTAAGCAGTGAAGCCCTGGCTATTTTTTCTCATTGAGTGGTCAGACTTCATAACCACCATGTTGAAACCACCCCCATGAGGGGGAGTTGAAACAGACACCCATGCTTTCAAGAAGAACGTTGAGTTAGTTGCACGTTACAATGAAATACCCTCAATGCTGATGTTATCTTTTCCTTCCCATAGGGAACCACAGTCAGATATCACGAGTACCTGTTGCTATTAAAGTGCTGGATGTCAATGACAACGCCCCTGAATTCGCATCCGAATATGAGGCCTTTTTATGTGAAAATGGAAAACCCGGCCAAGTAAATATCTCCATGTTGTTAATGCTGATATGTTTGTATACGACTGTCTCACATTTGACTAACCTGCCGTAGAGTGTGCATCTGCCTTATTTTCATTCTGCAAAGTCACAGGCAAGAAACTCCGGGTGGAAACAGAGAGGGAGTGTTTTTCTTTCTGAGTGTTGGTTCTCCCTACGTAGGACCAGATTGGCTCAGGAAGTGGAACAGCCTGCTGCCCTGTGACCACAGAGCCAAAGAATTAGCTTAAACTACCCCACGGTATGGAGGAGAGCAGGGGAGGGGTTGGCATGATGGGGGCAAAGGGTAAACTTCAAATGACAGGAAGCAAGGGGAAAGCTCATGGGGAGGGAATGCTTGTCTCATGTCAGACATAGAAATAACGCAGAATAGAGGGACCCAGGTCAACCAGTTGTCTGAGGGTGTAGGAAGTGAATTTTGAAACCTGTAAAAATGTAGTTAATTCATTTTAACATAAGATAAACAGTAGGTCTTAGACATGTAACTATAGCATCTGATAATTGTGTATTGATGGAATTTTTTTTTTTACCTGTCTCATGTAGTATAAATAGGAACAATTAAGAAAGGGAGTGAGTTAGAGGGCGGAGAGGTAAGGAGGGGGGAGGGAGAAAGGAAAGAGGGGAGGTTAGGAGAGAGGGAGGGAGGGAGTAGGAAGGAAGGGAACTTGTGAGGGAGGTTTGGAGGAAGAGTAGTATAAGCAAGAACAAAACCAAACCTGCTATACTCTGAATGTCAAAGTGGAAATAGTGTGTGTAAAGTTCTAAAAACCCCAAATGTAATAGATTTATCTGAACAAGGTGCCGAAGTACTGTATGTTTAAGAAATTTATCATTTTCCGACTTACTAATTTATTTCTGGATGGTGACATTTTAATTTAAATAAACAGCAGCTGACAGCATGACACTGGAGTTGTTAATCCAACTATTCTTGTGCCTCATGTGGGTGTTAGGAATTAAACTTACTATCTGCCGAGCAGTTTACCTGACAAGAGTCAGATTTTTTTTCCCACCAAAAAAAAAAAGGATTAGCATTGTGGCTCCATACTTTTCATTTATTACAAAAGATCAGTGTGTTACCATCCTTTAAAAACAGTGGACATTTTCTCCTAGACTACTCTCATATACCTGAACTATTAGCATCATTTACCAAAATAGCACACACACACACACACACACACACACACACACACACTCACACACTCACACACATGCTCACACACACACAAACTGAAATTGTAATAACACTGATTAATTTCAAGCAACTAGATAATATAAATGTTCTAATCAAAACATTCACCTTTCACAGTGCTACACTATTTTTAATAATATTCTAATATTAGTTCAAATGTTTCTTAATTTTGTCATGTGGAATTGCTCTCTAGCATGTTTTGAACATTTTCATTTGTGATCCTTTAAGGATGGAGTGTGTTTATATGTACAGTGTGGGGGACAAAAATAGATTTATAGTTGTTCCTATAGAAATTAATACAATAACACGAATAAACAGTGTTTCACATACTCACAACTGTAAACCCACTTTTACCCCATCCTGATATGTATGTCATATATACTAGTCTTTAGCGAAGTTGGCGGATTGAATTGGCAGAGAGTTTGATCAAAATATACACAATATATGCAGGTCCCTCTCAAGGCTATGTTATGTGATCCAGATCATTGCTGGGGTAATGTAGCCAATCACAGACTTATAAGCTTGTCCCTTTCAATCATACAGAATCTGTCAAATGCATCAGAATTTAAATAAATCTCCATTGTTCATGCAAAACTTATCGCACACGTTGAGAGAGTCAATAGCATCAATACTGCAGCAATCCAACATCGCCTTCGCTTGTGACATTGACACACATGCCTTTGGAACCCCAGAAATCGGGAGTTTTACCCAGTGGATTTCAACTGTTTCCAAGGTTTTAATGATTCCTCAACAGTTCCTATCCTCAGGGGGGAAATCAGGTTGTTTCATCACCTTTCCTATGCAAGATCAAAATAAAAGAGAAAAGTTAATTCTTTGTCTTATGATTTTTGCAGATCAAAATGACTCCTTCTGTGAAGAGATGCCTATGTTGTGTGTGTGTCCCCTGCACTAGCTCATCCTCAAATGAATCTGTTTAGGCAGATCTGTTAAAGGTTCATTTTTACATGAAAAGACCAGATCTTTTGTCTCTTCAGCATAATTTTTGGACTGGTTTATGCACAAGCAATCATTCCCCTCCTGAACTTCCTGATTTCTTTGTGCTAGTCAGAAGTCATATTTGGTTCATTACATCACTCCCAGTCACTTTCAATGGCTCGAGTATCTCATTTTTATATTTAATGTTTTCCAAAAATTCATCTTTGTTACCTACACTAGTGTTCACTTATATAAGTTCAACATCGATAAAACTGTCAGTCATCTCTCCTCACACCCCACAGACCACTGACTCATTTTCAAATTAGAATGTTCATTCTCAAATGATCAAAAACATTTGTCAAACATTGAATTAGCACTAGAGTTATAGTCACTCAATATTTTTCAGCATTTGATGTCTGCTTTACAACAGCCTCAGAGTAAGGAGTGCAGGTGACTTTGAAATCTGGTTTGCCTGGAAGGTGTGGATTTAAGGCTAAATTCAGAGGGGATCAGCTTCTGGGGAGATAGTGCAGCTGGAGATCATTAGCAATAACTAAGGGCAAGCCATTCAGAATATCCAGTCTAAAGACTTCTGGCCTAGAGAACCTCAAAGGTTTTTAAAACAATAAAATCAGAACCAATGTCAACATGAACATAGATAATTATTTTGTGCTTGAATCTTTTCCAGTGGATTGAACTCATCAACAAAATACCAAATAAGAAAGAAAAGGAAGGATGGAAGGAAAGAGGAAGGGAAGGAAGGAAGGAAGGAAAAAAGGAAGGGAGGGAGGGAGGGAGGGAGGGAGGGAAGGAGGGAGGGAGGGAGGGAGGGAGGGAAGGAAGGAGGAGAGAGAGAGGAAAGGAGGGAGGGAGCCAGTGAGCCAGTTTCATCTTCTCTAGGTGTAGATTTCCATTTCATGTCATATCTGTGCTAAAATTGGCAGATGTTCACTTTGAAAGTAGAACTGCAAATCATATCAGCCCCAGTACCTTCTCATAATTCTGAAATGAAAGATGACTTTTTCTTGAATTTGTTCCCTTAGAGAATAACAGCAACCCTGTGACACAGAGAAATTATTCACATTCCATATTACACAAAATCAACATGAATCCTTTCTGGTTAGAATTCTTTTAAATCTTCAATATACAATTATTTAAATGTTAAATATATAAATTCCAATGGTATTTTCTGATTACCAGTAACACTTCTTTTAATTCCAATAGTTATAGATAATTTATCTTAAGTAAAAAGATAGAAGATGGTGTATATATTTAATCTCTAATTTAATGATGGTATGATAGAGTCGTCTACACATTACTTGGCGCTCAGTTATCAGGAAGAATAAAAATATGCTCTCCACTTACTTGAAATCTCTAATTTCAAAATTAGAAAGCAAAATATATGCCTGATATTTCTTTTGACTAATAGGATGGTAGGTTTTGGACAGCCAGTCAATATGAATTGAGCACTAACTATATGCCAGGAGTTGAGTTGGTACTGGGGATCTAGTGGCAAACCAATGCCACTAGACTAATGTCCTACACATCAGTCTTTTTCCCACATGGAGTTTTCTCTATGGCAAACAGAATAAAATTAGAAATGATAGAAATGCATGACAATACCTCAAATCCTCAAGTCAGAAAGGAGTCTGAAGAAAGAAAGGAGATGGAGCTATCTTAATGACAAGACCTCCACCAGAGACAGAAAACATCTATCAAGTATTCCAGGAGTCAGCAGGGAATCACCCCGATTCTGTCTGGAGAGAATGGCAATGTGGCTGGACAGGTGGAGGAGCAGGTAACAGATGTGGAGAAACCCTCATCTCCCCTCATTCTGCCCTAGAACACCACACTCGGAACCCCATGTGAGAGAAACAGAACTTCAGTGGCCAGTGTTGGCCAGAGGGCCTTCCATCATTCTCTTCTCCATCTTGGTCTTCTCATGCGAGCTTTCTAGGATTTTATTGGCGATACCAGCCTCTTGTATCTCATACAGACAGAATTGGGGTAATTTGTCCCAGATGGTGCATCGACACAGGGACTGAACAAAAATGTTGTATTTCTAGGAATGAATCGAGGTCTCGCGTTGAGTCTCAGAGAATATTTATTGTTGGAGAACCCGTTAGGCGACAGACTGCTTCAGTACTTTTTCCTCCAGGAAGGAGCTTCCCTGTTACCATAAATAAATCTAGTGGAGACTAATTTAAGCTTCATCACCTGCTATAGAAGTTGAGATGTGCTGTTTGGAATCAAGTTAATTATGTCTGGGTTAAAAAAATATTCTGATTTACCTCTTTTAATCTTTTCTTTCTCTGATCAATACTGCAGTATATAAAGTTAGTATTTCATAGGAATATCACAGGTACCCCCCTCCCCAAAAAAGAGAATAACCTTTATTACTAGATAGGTATCTAGCCAATGCTTGGCATGTAATGGATATTCACAGAATTTTAAAATTGTGGTTGTAATTCACTTCATTTGGCAGTGACAAATATTTCAATAATTATTTTCTCAGATATTACCATGGAAACACTCATTCTACTCACAGACACACAGTGCACAAGATAACCCTCTTCACATGAAAAATCATTCATCTGTTTATTAAACTGTATTTATTGTGCAGCCTCAAGATGCTAAATATTCTCATATGAACTTGGGAAAATAACATGAAAATGACCAAAAACGTGTTCTCTCTTGTGGAACTTTTTTTTTAATTGATTTCAGAGAGGAAGGGAGAGGAAGAGAGAGAAGCATCACTGATGGGAGAGAAGCATTGATTGGCTGCCTTCTGCACACTCCCCACAGGGGATGGAGCCTGCAACCTGGACATGTGCCCTGACCGGGAATTGAACCATGAC